TTTAATCAAAAATGTATATTTATAATATTCATTCATTCATTTTTTTTCTGCTTAGTCCCTCAATTAATCCGGGGTCGCCACAGCTTAATGAACCCTCAACTTATCAAGCAAGTTTTTATGCAGCGGATGCCCTTCCTGCCGCAACCCATCTCTGGGAAACATCCACACACACTATGGACAATTTAGCCAACCCAGTTTACCTGTACCGCATGTCTTTGGACTGTGGGGGAAACCGGAGCACCCGGAGGAAACCCATGCGAACGCAGGGAGAACATGCAAACTCCACACAGAAACGCCAAGGCTCGAACCAGCAACCCAGCGATCTTCTGGCTGTGAGGCGACAGCACTACCTACTGCGCCACTGTGTCGCCTATTTCTAATAATAACATAATATTAATTATAAGGCCATGCTTTATATAATTAAATAATATTATTTTTAATGTACAGTGAAACTGATGAATCCATGGTGAGGTTAGTGACGTCATAAAGTACACTGCCGTTCCATTTGAAGAAGTCCTCGGGAGTTTGCTCTTCCAAGTCTGAACTTGGCAAGTCTGAGATTCCAAGGGCGCAAGTCCAAACTTTCCTTACCTGATAATGAGAAACAGCCCTGGATTAGCTGGTGCAGGTGTTTTTAAATGGGGTTGAAACTAAAATATGCAGGACACCGGCCCTCCAGGACTGAGTTTGGACACCCCTGCTCTAAGGAAACAGTTGATGGTCACCTAGTTACAGAAAGACAGCAGGAAAGCACAAGCGCAAAACACATTTAAAGGGTCAAGGAAACCAAAGCGCTTGTCACTTCAGGTCAGAATAACAACACACTCGAAAATGAGTGTGGCGACCCCAGATTAATAAAGGAACTACGCTGAAAAGAAAATGAATGAATAAATGAATGGTTCCTACTATAATTGTAAAAAAAAATCAATAATCATCGATATCGAATGATATGAAAAATGATATTGTGATTTTTTTTTTTTTTAGCAATTTTGCCCATGCAGCCCTAGTATGTACTGAACTGTAATGGGCAACATCCTAACAATGATAAAAAAGCATGACTGAGCATTCTGTTCTTATTTTGGTCACATCTTGTGGTTCCATGTGCTGTTTTTGGTTTATTTTTACGTCTTTGTTCTGTATTGTGTTCATATTTCAGCTGAACCCCACCAGATTTTGTTTTTAAGAGGACAGAGACTTATTTTTTAAGCATTTTTGTCTGCTTGTTTTTTGCTCTTCAAGTAAACCCCACTAACAGAGCAATCGCCCCAAAGATTTTTAACCAAATCAAGTGCAAACACACTCTCGCGACTTCTCCTGTCACTGACGATGACAAACAGTCCTTCCAGTTCAACAGCCGCACGATCTCTGCATATATCTCAGCAAATCTTTCTGACATTTTGGACTGGATGAAGAAACACCACCTCCAGCTAAACCTTACCGAGGTCAACAACACTACAGCCAGCCAGAATTCTTGCTATCATATTTTACATCCAGATGAACTTTAGTAACCACATATTTGCATGCAGATCCGTGCTTTGTACTAAAATGAAGGAAATCTAAGCCTTCCTGTCTGATTATGCAGGTTCTGGTCCAGGTTGCAGACCTTCAAACATTTCATGTTTTCCTTTAATTAAATGCATTCACCCAAAAAGGCAAGTTTGTTATGTTTTTTCTCATTTATTTCAGACATTTCATTGATAAGTTACAAAACAAGGAACGCAGCATCTAGAAAAAGAACATTACATATTATACAATGGACATTTACAAAAATAAATAGTTTTACAATGAAGACGTAACAAAGTACAATCCTTCACTGAAGGGATCAAATGTTTTGCTGCAATTTAATACGACTAATATATAAAATGTACACAACAGGAATGATCAATACAATATTAGCATTCATATACAATCACTGTAAAGAAGAATTACATATTTTCAGCTTAGTTTCATGCTGTACTGTTTTACGTCATGTTTACGTCTATTTCTAAACCTCAGTAGACACTACCACTCTTGAAGGATGTCAACGGTTGATGTTTCCAAACCTCCCTGTTTTCATTCATGCAGAATTTCACAACAATTTGCTATGTGCTCTTTTAAAATAACAGTGTTTATTACAAAGAACAACTATTGGAGGCGGTAAGCTATAAAACCCACTCAACAACACACAAAAATGATGCTTGTTAAGGAATTTTCAAATGATTGATTAATGATGTTTCAAAATATAAATAAGGCTCAACTACTGTTTACCTCTGAGAACGTTCAAGAGTAAGTTTAATAGATTTATATGATGATGCTTTAATAATCAATTGTTCTTGATGGCTTGAACTCTGAAAGCCTTGAATAAACGCAAGTCAAGGTTTATAAATAAAATAAATGACCCAATCAAAAATAATAGCACCTTAATAGTGGTTTTAGCAAAGCGTCAGTTCTATGTACATTTTCTACATTTTGTAATTCCAATGTGTACAACTGAATGTACAAATACAAAATGATTTTATTTCCTTTCTTTTCACTTTCAAAAATGCCAGCATAAGATGAAATGAAATGTGAAAATCCTCGCTGGTCTGTTTTGGATTATATCGTTTAAAATAACAACATATTTATTTAAAATCATACCATAATTACTGTGGAATGCTCCAAAATACGACCGGGGCCCTGTTTACAGCGAACATCTGTTGTGGTTGACCGGATCAAAAGTCAATGACAATACATCAAAAGACACATAAATGTTTTTTGTTAAATCCATCTCTTCTGTTCACTTTCAACCACTTTTCTGATTTCTTTGAGGTAAGGGTCTATGGACGAGTCAATTAGATGAAGTTGTCCTGACCTACTAATTTGATGTTACAAAAATAAGCTTTTAAATGTTTGTTTAAAAGATGTTTCAAGAGTTTACACCTAGATGTTGCTTGATATTAATTGTATGTTTGACATGCTGTCCAGGGAGAGAACCCTGAGCTCGGAGATAATAGAGCCCATGGGGCTGTTTCAGTAAGAATGTTCAAACTTGAGTTAAAACTTGAACTCTGAGTTGTCTGAGAGATTAAAAACTTTAAGTTTTCGGTTTCAGAACAGCTGATCTAAGTTAGGTTAATCGAGTAGACTAAAGCTGTGGACATTTAAAAAAAACGAGCGATTGCTCCATGTTTTAAGTTTCTGCCCAGAGAGGTTGTGGGTTGATCCTTGATTGGTCTCACGCAGTCAAGTGATGCAATTTCGCAGGTCAGAGTTCACCAAGCTTGAACTTTGCACCGCAGCGAACTGCGAACGCATGACCCTGCGTTTCCGGTCTGACGCATTTTCGTGCAGTTAAATGGAAGTCTATAGGGACAGAACTCAGGTGTGACCGCAGCTTAATTTAGAGTTAAGCGTGCACACCGCGACTATAAAAAGGGATTATCAATGGAGCGCAGATATTACGAGTCACCATGACAACATCTGAAAAAAAGAGATCAGTGTTTTTTTGTCCAGCTGAACTTCGTGTGCTCATGCAAAGTTATGGCAAATATGACAATATATTTTTAAAAAAGCAACACCACTGCTTTGGCGAAACAGAGACAGTTAGCGTGGGAAAACTTAGCTGCTCAAGTTAATGTGCAAGTTTACATTTAAATTAGTTAACATATTAAATATTTAAGTATGATAAAAAAAAATTTTAATATATGTGACATTTATAGACTTTTTACTTGAAAAAGTGGGGAATTGGCCATATATTTGAAGCTATTTTAGATGTAATTGCATTAAATTACATAAAATAGGCTACTGCATATAGTTTCTACAACAAATTTGACAAAATAAGAATGCATATAACCTTAGCTTAATGTTCAGTGGAAATGTTAATTTAAGGTTTCCACTTTTACATACGTTAATTAGTTTTAGAAAACATTTCTAAACTTGAGTTTTTAATAGATTTAAAAGTGCACTTGTGTGTCTGCCTTTATTATTGATCAAGTGGTAGAGATTGATCTGACATTTAGAAAGTAAGCAGTACTAAAAAAATTGTTTTTAAAATGAGTAATAATCCCATTAATCTAGTCACTGTACATGTCCCTGTTGAAGGACAGTGAATTTAAGATAACTATTTATTTTTTGCAGTAATTTCAAAGGTAAAATTAAAACTATGGTATTGAATCTAATTGTAATTTTTCTCAAAAAAGGACAAGCCATTCATGTAATATTGTCCTTTGTGTAGCTTATGTAAGCAATGAATGACTAATGACATATCCAAAACACGCTTTAAAATAGGTGGATGGAAACGTAAAGCTAAAGCGAGAACTAACGCTTCACCTTTAAAAAAAAAAGGGTGGAGACCAACAGAAACTCAGAGATAAAAGAATAAAACCTGCTCCTGACCAGGTTAGATTCACAAAGTAAGTTACCACGGTAAAAGTGAGTAAACATTACCTCTCTTTCAGAAACAGACTTGATTCACTTTTCACTTAACCTTCTTTCTGAAATGGGGCCCAGGGTTCCCGCCTGGTTAAATACGAGAACAGGTAGTAAACACTTTTCCTGGTAAAAAGAGGAAATTGGGGGAAGATTGGGTGGATGGGGGATTCTTCAAAAACGAAGATAAAGGAGTGAGGTAAGATGGGCTATTTATTGTAAGTTTGAATAATCTAATTGGTTTATTAATGATTGCAGATGAGAGACCAGCCGCGATCAATCATATCACATGCTCCTCTAGTAATTAGTCTAAAACTTCACTTACAGTAAACATCCAAACATAGAGTTCTTAGCAAAAGAGTGAAAATCTGATAGATGTCTAAGTTTTCAAAAAGTCATCAAATAGACAAGAATGAATGACTACACATGTCAAATCTGTGTATTTGTCTGTTTTTGGACTATTTTTAGACATCCATTACATTTTAGTCTTGTTTTTAGCCAAAACATCTATCTTCGGATGTTAGATGTATTTGAAACATAAAATTGCATGGTGGGATTTGTACAGGAAACTAGAAAATGTTGGTTTCTACTCTGATAATAATAAATCTTGTGCAACACTTTGGGTTTTGTGTTAGAATCAAGACTGGTTTCTTAAAATAAATTCTCGTGCGACAGTAACCTTTAGTCTGGTTGGGTCATCTTGAAAACACATCCCATAATGTTTTGGAATCACATCAGTAGATGGAATAGGTAGTTTTATGTTGAAATGCATTCCACCACATGAGCATATAAACTGTGAAAGCAATCTGATATGATGTGTTTTCAACTTGCACAAACAAGCACAAAACGCTTCAGTCCCCATTTGCATCTGCATTTAGCATCATCCACTTGTGTTTGGGTGATCATCTTAAAACCAAGTGTGAACATGATCCAGGAGTTAGAAGTTAGGGAAACTGCAATAAAGCATTGATGAGGTAGATATCTATTGCATCCATAGTGGTTATAAATATATAAATCTGATAAAACCAAAGCCCAACTTAATCAATCCGTGCAACATTCACTCCACACAGCTCAACCGTTTTCTGTCTAAAGCTGAAAATTCCCTGCTCCAACCTGAAGCACGGTCAAATGATAATCCATCGTTTCACAGGAACGTCTTAACAACCAAATCATTTACTGCAGATGAAGTCCTCAGCACTCTTGGTAGAAACACTTTTCAGATACGGATTCAGGCATCTTGGCAGGGTCACAGTTCTCTGGCTCCACAGTCTTCCCAGTGTAATCGATGCAGAGAATCTTGCGCTGTCGTTCCCCGTGGCCACAAGTTTGAGAGCATGAAGACCAAGGTCCTATCTGCCAAATGGGACACGGCAGATCTGCGCAAGGTCTGATATCAGACGGTCTGAGATCTTTATTGCAGTGGTTTGAATAGAAGCCAGCATTGTCTTTACATTCCACATTTCTTCTGGACCACCCAGAACCACATGTTTTGGAGCATTCGGACCACTCGCTTGAGATCCACTGTGGCACCCCAAAAGGATGAATCAACTTGCCTGCAATCTTTTTGTCTTTCGGTTTACTGAACGCCATGCTTTTAGGGATGTAGAAGGTGTATTTGACCTTCGGTGGGATGGATTCAGCAGCGGTGGAGAGCAGTTGTATTGTGATGGGTTCCTGAAGCTGCCGGAAGCTCTGAAGTCTCTCAAGTGTTGTTGAAGAGCCACTGTACTTCAGCACAGCGCCCAGCACTGGAATATGCTGCTCCACAGTGGATACAGAGAAGTTCCCGTTCAAGATGTAATTGCCATTTTCTCTTCGTACAGCCAGGTAATGGCCATCGTGTGGTATACTTCCATGACTCTGCTGTTTGATGTTAATGTTAGTGGCTCCACTAGGAATCGTCACAATGTCCCTATATCCATGGCTAAACAAATGGGAAATAGAGCACAGTACATAAATAGTGTCTGTCCGGATTTCATGAGCAAAAAATGTCTGAATATGAAGAAAGTCTTCATAGTGCATCCGGAAAGTTTTCATAGCGCTTCACCTTTTCCACATTTTTAATGTTACAGGCTTATTCCTAAATGGATAAAATTAATTCATTTCCTCAAAATTCTACACACAATACCCCATAATGACAATGTGAAAAAAAACACTTTTTGAAATTGTTGCAAATTTATTAAAAATAAAAAAACTTGAAAAATCACATGTACATAAGTATTCACAGCCTTTGCCGTGAAGCTCTAAATTGAGCTCAGGTACATTCTGTTCATTCTTAAAATGTTTCAGCAGCTTAATTGGAGTTCACCTGTGTGTAGGGGATCTACAAATCCGAATATGAGAGAACTTTTATTTTGAAATTTGACATGGGCGCCGCCATTACTTTCTCCGGTATGTGTGTGGGTGACGATCGCATTCAGGCAGAGAGAGGGAGGAGAGAAAGGCGAGTTGTGACAGCAGTGGTGAGCTAATGAAGGTTGTGCAGTTTTAAAACTTTTTGATCAACTTAAGAAGTTAACTGATGACATGAAACAAAGCTAGATTACATTGCTTCAAAGTCTCGTTGCTTTTAAGTCTCCGTATAGTTTAATGAGCCAGTTATTAGCAGTGACGCAGCAAGTTTTTTTGCCGCGCTCGTGAGTGACGCGGGATAATAGGCCTGCTGTTAAAGTCAGTCGGATTATTCAGTGCTGATGTTGAATACTCCCGTGTTTTTTTGTAATATACATCCAGATTTTTGTTAGTTCAAACGAACTCAAAGAGTAGTGGATGCTGTGTTATTTTTGCGAGGATTTTTGCGTTGGAAAGCATCGTGTGTTCATTGTTTGCTCTGATTGATCGCCGTTGGACGGGATTGTGGCCTTGTTGGATCGTGCTGTGCTTTCAGGATCACGAGGGCAATCGTTGGGGATCAAAGAGTTGAAGGAACATTACCCTGCCTTTCCAGACTCCTTTCAGCGCTCTGTTCTGGACCCAAGGATGGTGATGTACAATATTGAGTTCACATTTCCTTGAATATTGGTAAGACATCTTTTCTTTTCACCGTATTGAGACAGAACTGTGCTTTAAAGGAACTCTCGATCGAAAAACTGGAAATTGTGCGTTTTTCCACAGAGACTTATTTGTTTACCAGTCTATGGACATTTTCACTCGTGAATGGACTGAGTATATTTTTCCTGAATTTTGAAAGTGAACTCTAATTTGATTTGAACTCATTTGATTAATACTGATTGTGAATGTGAATCTTGTCATTGTTTAAGGTGTGACTGAAACACTAGCACATTGATTCTATTTCATTTATTATTGTCTATATTTCATTTCATTTTGAGCTGATTGAGTTTAAAAGAATTTAACTTTTTATGTGAAGAAACATAAGAAAAGAAAACTCATTCAATTAGTCTCATAAGACTAATACTTTTTGTTTAAATAAATATTTGTTTGTTTAGTTACATTGAGTTAACTGAAGTCCTTTATACTAAGGAGTGGGGCCGTCTCATCTATCCTGTTAGATCTGGGAGGGTGGGTTTTTCTGAGTTTTTACACACTCACATACACACTTCAGGCTACCACCGTGATAAAGTTAGATCCTGAAGCCCACCTCACTTTATCTGTAGCTCCATATAGCAACACGATAGACACTCACATATAACCACTAGTTATACTGAGACCTAAAGCATTGGGTGGGGGGACTAAGATCCTGTTGCTCACTCAGTCTTCCTTAGTGTAAAGTATATTATTTGCCCCACAAGGCGGTGGCATATTCCCCTCCGCCACATATTGGCGTCACGAACAGGATCAATTCCTGACTTTTAATTCAGTATAAGTTTGTAGTCTTTGAGCCGACGCTATGGCTGAGCTAGAAGAATTAAAGAAACAGTTTGAAGAAATGCAAAGGCGGTTCGGTGAGCAGTCTGGCATGTTAGAGCAAGCCAGAGCCGAACAGAGGGAGGCACTTTCTCTAGCTAAAATTGTTATTGAACAACAAGCTGCTGCTCAAAAAGCACCATCTACTGTGTACATCCCAAGAGATCGTAAACTTCCAGAGTTCAGTGGATGTCGTTCTAAGCCTGGCGAGTTGAGCATAGAAGAATGGATAAGTTCAATGAAGTCCGCCTTCAAGGTGATGAAAATTCCTGAAGAAGACAGAATTGAGTTTGTTAAGCAGTGTTTAAAAGATGAAGCAAAGATGACAGTCAAGTTTATGCTGAACGGAAAGGAGAGGTCAGTGGATGAGATTTTTGATGCTTTGGATCAGACTTATGGGGACAAACTTCCCATTGGCAGCAGGCTAAAAGATTTTTATGACCGCAAACAAATGCCTGGAGAAACCATTCGTTCGTATGCATACGATTTGCAAGAGAAACTGAGTATAATTCAGAGCAGAGACCCAGCTAGAATTCCTGATGCTGATGGTGTATTGAAGGAACAGCTCGTGCTAGGCCTCAAAGATGATTCACTACGACGTGAAATGAAAAGGAGAGTTAAGGCTGAGAAAGATTTGACATTCATTCAGCTTATGCAAGAAGCTATAACGTGGTCAGAAGAAGAGGAAGTTCAAATTCCAAGTAATCTGAGACCCAGTACTCGTTCACGTGGTGTTGTTCATGCTACCTCTGCGACAGAGAGTTCTTCAGTCCCTCTCACCCTAGAGTCTCTCCATGAAGCTGTTCAACACATTGCTGCCCGACAGGAAGAATTGTTTCAAATAGTCAATAGTAAAGAAAAAGTGAAACCTCTTGTAAAAGAGAACAAGATGAAAAGTGCACCTTTAAAAGATAGTGAAGGGAGATACATCTGTTATACCTGTGGTAAGCCAGGACACACAAGCCGACGTTGTCTTCAGAACAAAGAAAACTCTAAAACTCAGACAGTAGAGAGGGAAAAGACAGCAGACCGAGACACTTTAGTGCTAGAGAGCCCAGGTCCATCTGTCATTCGTAGTCATACTGCAGACTGTGATACAAAGAATGTTTCCAAGTCTCTTTGTGAGAGTGCTTTTGGAGACTGTCTGACAATTGAAGTGAAAATTGCGGGTATAAGTACCATTTGTCTCTTGGATACAGGATCAGAAGTCACTACTATCACTGAGTCACATTTTAAGGATCACTTTGGAGAAGCTGTGTTGTCTTCTGCCAACTGGGTTCGTCTCACAGCAGCAAACGGCCTGGACATTCCCATCATAGGTTGTCTAGAAGCAGACGTAGAGTGTATGGGGAAGAAGTTACATGGAAAGTGTGTGTTTGTAATCAAAGAGACTGAAACCCACGGAACAGAGTTGAATAGATTGCCTGGCATTGTTGGGATGAATGTGTTGAGTGAACTTAAAGATCTGTTCATGGCTACTGGAGACGTGAAGAAGATGAACAGATATAGTTGTGGCTTTAAGGAGGCAAGGGTCCAACGAGTGTTAGCTAACATCAAGATGCAGACAGAGACATTAAGCTGCAACGATAAGATTGGCTTCGTAAAAGTTGCTGGCAAGCAAGCAGTTACTATCCCTCCATTCAGTGAACGTGTTTTGGAAGGCCGCTGTAGAATACCACCAAAAGTAAGCTGTCAAGTGTTGGTGGAGGCCTCTTCAAATGTCAGCTTGCCTAAAAGTGTACTGATCGCTAATGTGCTCGCCAAATCAGCTGATGGTAAAGTTCCAGTCAGAGTCCTGAATTCTAGCGAAAAACCTGTAAAATTACCACCACGATGTAGAATCGCTGCACTGTCCAAGCCACAAGAAGTTTTGCAAAAAGAGCTTGTTGAGTTTGAGGAGAAGGAAGGTACCCTGCATGTTAAAGCTGTACAGAAACATCAGGTGAATGTGGATATAAGCACCACAGAGCAACTGCCAGTTCCAGTGCAAATTAATTTAGAGAACCTCACAGAAACTCAACGTTGCACACTGCAAGAACTACTGGTCAAGCACAGTGATGTGTTTTCAAAGAACGATTGTGACTTTGGTTATACAACTGCAGTTACACACAATGTACCGACAGGAGATGCTCCTCCTATTAAGCAAAGACATCGCAGAATACCACCTCAAGTGTTTCAGGAAGTGAAAAAACATGTTCAGGATTTGGTTTCTCAAGGTATTCTCAGAGAAAGCTGTAGTCCGTGGGCATCGCCAGCTGTGATTGTAATTAAGAAAGATGGTAGCGTACGCTTTTGCTGCGACTACAGAAGATTAAATAAAGTGACTTGCAAAGATGCTTATCCACTCCCTCGTGTGGAGGAATCACTGGATGCTTTAGGTAATGCACAGCTGTTCTCCACCCTTGATCTTACCTCTGGGTATTTCCAAGTTGCGATGAATGAGGAGGATAGAGCAAAGACGGCGGTAACAACTCCTTTCGGATTGTTTGAATGGACCAGGATGCCATTCGGACTCTGTAATGCTCCTGCGACATTCCAGCGTCTGATGGGGGTGGTGCTCGGAGATCTAACTTTTGACATACTGCTCATCTACCTGGATGACATTATTGTTTTTTCAAGAGACTTTGAAAGTCATTGTCAGAGACTGGAAATAGTGTTCAACCGATTGAGAGAGCATGGTTTGAAACTAAAACCCAGCAAGTGCTTCCTTTTGAAACCCGAAGTGAAATTCTTGGGTCATCTAATATCCTCCCAAGGAATAAAGGTGGATGGAGAGAAAACTCAAGTGTTGGAGACATGGCCTGCACCCACAAATGTCAAAGAGTTAAGACAGGTCCTTGGATTTATGAGTTATTACAGGAGATTTGTTCCTTGTTTTGCTCAATTAGCCCGGCCTCTTCATGCTCTGGTGGGTAAAGGAGGAAAAGGGAAAGTTATTGAACCTTTGAACTGGACAACTGAATGTCAGTTAGCATTCGACAAACTCAAGCATTGTTTAATGTCTCCTCCAGTCCTTGCATATCCAGATTTCAGTCAGTCTTTTGTACTCACAACTGATGG